CTTCAGCGTGCGCAAGCCAAGAATGTTTTTACTCCTGATGTATGTATGTTTTACTGACAGAAAAACAGAAGCCACCATGATAGATGTATAGATGTATAGATGTATGTATAGATGATAGATAGATAGATAGATAGATAGATAGATAGATAGATAGATAGATAGATAGATAGATAGATAGATAGATAGATATTGATAATTTTATAACCATTTTACAAAAACTTAATCCTCTTTTGTATCACAGAAGAATTATCACCCAGTTAGAAACACTGTATGGATTTCTGATTTTTGTCTGTTTTTAAGTATTCATTAAATCCGTAAAAAGATAATTGAACGAGGTCGACTCCACAGACATCACGCCATTTACGCAACAGCGTTTATAAGTCAATGAAACATTCTCCAACCGGAAGAAAAGCACACAGAACTCGTACCTCTTTATCAGCCTTGCCTACTTTAGACTCCAGGTCATATCTGTCTTCATCCACTTTGTCAACGAGAGCGGCTAACTTTTTGCAGGTTTCCTGGTTAAACAGACGGGTGCACTGGTTGATAACTGAAAACAAGCCTCCTCTACTGACATACATTATAATGTATAAAATTATAATGTATTTTATACATTATAATGTATAAAAATTCAACTGCGGATTAGTTTTATTAGGATCCCCATTAGCTGCCAAATAAATGGCCACTAGTCTTCCCGGGGTCCTCACATGAAGAAATTACATTAAATCATGAACAAACCATTAAAAAAATCACATTAGGAAATAATAGGAACATGAAAAAGAGTAGAAATATACAACATATATACACAGGTCAGTTCATCATATCATATTTTTCAGTCTAAATGAAGTTACAGCCACCTCCCACATCCTTTTGAATTTGGTCTCGCTTGAGATTTTAGTCAAAGAAAGATATTTTTTCCCCCTCAAGTCTGCCACATTGGGCCTCCAGTAAATCCTCTAGAGAGAAATCCACCAGGAAAGCTCAGGCTGGACTCTTTAACAATATCCAAACCAATACCACAACAAGAAAGTTTAACGAACATTTCATATATTCAGTTTAGCTCCGTTTATAGGAGCTCGGCTTTGCCTGATTGGACTAAACCGATCAGTTGATCTGACAAGCCATCGAATTCTTAAGAGAAAATAAATCCTTGGTCATGAACTCTGAGCTCACCATGAGGGTCGCCTGGTCTCCGGCCAGATCGGGGCCTGGGCAGTTCTGAGACATGTAGGCCTCTTTTGAAGAAACAAGGTCCTTTTTCTCCTGTTCCAGCCAGGTCGCCGCAATCGACAGGATCAAGCTCTGCGGGGAACACGACAAGTTAAAGGATATTATACCCTATTTCAACAAGTTAACCTAGTTCCCTGGTGTCCTAATGTGATGTCTGTGACAAGCTTTGGTCAAAATCCCATCAGGATGAAGCCCAATAGCAGTTCAGTCCCCCTGCCTAACCCTAACTCTAACCCTAACCCTAACCCTGCCAAAACAGCCCCGTTCAGAGCGCTCGCTTTGGAGTGCCTGTCTCTTTAAATGCAAATGAGACACAGGCAATCCACCCACTTCTTCCGGGAGGTGTGCCCACGTCGGCACGCTAACGCTACCATGCTAACGCTACCATGCTAACGCTACCATGCTTACGCTACCATGCTAACGCTACCATGCTAACGCTACCATGCTAACGCTACCATGCTCACGCTACCATGCTCACGCTACCATGCTAACGCTAGCATGCTAACGCTCACGCTACCACCACGTCTGCCACAGATGGGGGAGTAAGCTGAGGGGGGGGCAACATGCAGGTGAAAGGCTGGAATATTATAATGAGCTAGAGCTAATGACGTCAGAAACTACCCACTCCTGAAACCTCCTGATTTATCTCCTGGATTCAGACTGAGGCGGCCCACAAAAACATGAC